GGATACCTGTAGGACTTAGAAAAAATCCTAAGGTTAGAAACTCCAACGTATAGAATCAGCTGCCGCAGCCTTTCAACTTAGACGTTAAGATAAATGAAAACGAATCTAGTGATAATATATATAAATATTAACTTTTTAGATATACTATTAGTTAAAATATATTAATTTTAAAATTTTAAAGTAATGGTTAAGTAATAAAAAAGCCAAAAAAAAAAACATTAATAATTATGATTCATTAATATTTTAATATTTATATTCTTAATGATTTGATAACATTTAAAATAAAATTTTAATCATATAATCCATGCTTGGAATCATCTTTTACTATATAAATTTCTTTATTAATTATTAGAATAATCTTTCATAATAAATTACTAAATTTTAGGATGTCTAACGCGGAGTTAATCACGTGATCATATTAATTATTTGTCACTTGTATTACATCTAAATTTACTTTTAGGATGCGATAACCTACAATGAGATGTTACTTATATAATAATCTGATTAAATATATATAGTCTTATTTTGTTTATTTTAACTTCTTTTACTCTTAGCAAAGTTTTGCTAAGTTCTTCGTTAAGTTAATTATATTTCATCATTTTTATGATAAAAACTTTTGCATTTTTTTTCCTTGAAATACATTTTTAAAATGCTTAATATAATTGAACATAAGCTGAAAGAAAGGTAATAATATAGGCTCTTTGCAATAGAAAGGAAGGAAACTATCAAAAAAAATTTTTTTTGAGTTAATGTTAAATCTGAACTTATTTTATTAAAAAAATAATATTTAGTTTATAAAACAAAAAAAAATTTTTTAGTAGTTTCCTTCCTTTTTATTGCAAAGAGCCCATATTGTATATAAAGACACTGAGCCTCTCTGAGTCTGAAACTTTCTTTATAAAGAGTTAATCCTTCTCTTTTGTACAGTTTGAAAAAGGATAGAGGTGTTCTCATTTCTTTCAAGCTTTTCTTACTATGAATGAAAAGCAGGACGTCTCGTTTAGTTGGTTTAACCAATTTTGCAAAGTTTTGCTAAGTTCTTCATTAAATTAATATTATAATAAAATTTTTTGCATTTTCTTTATTTGTGAGCATAAGTCAGAAAAAGAGTAATAATGTTGTATCGATATTATAAGATACTAAGCCTAAAACTTTCCTTATAAAAAGTTGATCCTATTCGTTTATATAGTCTGAAAAAGAATAGAGGCGTCTTTATTTCTTTTGAGTTTTCTTACTATGAATGAAAAGCAGGACGTCATCATTCAGTTTTTTACCCAATCAGTTATGATACAGAATTTCTAGTATTTCTAGCTTTTCTGGTTGGTTCAATTCTAACATTGATTCTTATAATTATGATATGAACTGTCTTCATTTTATATAAAGGATTTGCTAAAATTTCAACACGAGTTTCCTTTCTAAAACAGGATGCAAGTTACTAATATTATTATGAATTATTACTAAATTATTAAGGAAAATATGGCAAAAAATATTTATATTTATTTTTTTTTGATTTATTATCATAGACATTCTCCACTTTTTTTATATATTGCAATAACACAAGGTAACAAAAAAAATTTTTAATTCAAAAATAATTATAACAATAAATATGACAAGCAATATCTTCTTGATTTACATTCAATTTTACACTAAAATGACAAGAATGAATAAACTATAGGAAAAAAAAATCAAATTAATCAAAATCTTCATTTTGCTTAAATAGAAACTATATATATATATTATTAGGTAAGTTAGGTTAATCAAATGTGATCAATAATTAGAATGTAGAAAAATATCTTAAATTAATACGATGGCTTAGTTTATTGATAATTTTTCTTCTCTATTTTGTTAAGAATAATTCAATATCATTTTAAATACAAATAGTGAATACATTTGAAAATTCTTCTGTGAATAATAATTCACAAATGGTCATAAATGATGATGATATATGTTCAGAAGCTCTTTTAGACAATCAATCAGATAGTATATGATTGCATTCACATTTAATTTAAAATCAAAATTATTAATTTAATTTTTTGCATTCTTATAGAATCTCTAATAACAGAATACGCCTCTGCATTTGAAAAGGATGATGATGAAACAGATCTTATACAAGAGGAAAGCTGGAAAGTTATGTCATCATTTTTCAAAAAATAAAGGAATTGTATAATAGTTGGATTCTTTTGATGACTTTGAACGTGATCTAGTTGAAATTATAAATGAAACTCTAATGCAAGCAATTAGACATTCTGATTTTGAAAAATAGGCAAGAAATAATGGTTTTTTTTCTGTATTATTTTTGTTGTTTTTATATGAAATACATTATACATTTTTTTTTAAAAAAAAAATGTAAAATTAGACTTAATACCGTTTTGAGTTTGATAAGCTATCATTTACTAAACCTCAATTTTTGAGTCTAAGATTAAAAAGAATTATTCTAAATGAAACTTGCTTAAGGAGTTTAATGTAATTAATTTAAATTGAATTTCATAATATACATGGCTTAATTATAACTTGTAATTGTATACACTTATTCATAAAGCTTTCAGCGTTTTTGAATAGTGAAAATGATATTACAACTTTTTCTGAAGTTACCGTAGAATCAATACATTTTGCAAAAACTTGGTTCTTTTGGATTATACTGTTGTGAATTAGAAGTTATTTATAATGATCATATTGGATATAAATTAGCTGCACAAATTTTCATTGCACTGACTTATTATCAATGGTTAAAACATATAGTTCCAGATAAATTCAGTAAGTCTTTTCCATTTAGTATACAATTAAGAGGCTAAATATAATTACAAATATAATGAATAATTTTTATAATTTATTTCTAAATTTTTAATAAATATTACTTTCTGAAGTTCAAATATACGTTTTAGCATCAAATACGTAAAGTTCCACCTCATCTTAACATCTAAAATGAGGTTTAGATTTTTAATGTCTTGATAAAGATCACACTGACTGGAAAATCTTACTCTGTGTTGTGGAGAGGCTCAGATCTTTACAATGAGTCTTCTCAGCTAAAATATTATTAATATTTTGAGTTTATTGTAAATATATATAACATATTTTTAATAAATAATATAATCATATTTTATGAGTTTACCTTAGGTATCATTTCACATAAATAGGCATTTTTCTCTTCAAGTTCTTTTAAAATCAAATTTTCATCCTTTGCATCTTCAGCTTTAATATGATTTAATATTTCTTGAACTGTGAGATTTATAATATGAGCGATGCATCTGATATGATTTCATTAGTGATGAAAATCAATCTGATTTTCACTGCAAATTTGTTCGAGAGCCCTTAAAAAAGTGTTATTATTCGCAGCATTATCAGCTGTGATTCCAAGGATCTAATAATAAGTGATTAATTTATTAAATTTATTATATAAAGTAAAAATAAACTTATCATTTGCCTTGGTTAATATTTTTTTATCCTAAAGGGATTTTACAAATGCTTGTGCTAAATTTTCACCTGAATGGGATTCTGCAAGATAAACAAAATCTACAAGAACATCTTTAAGATTCCAATCAGAATCAATATAATAGGCTATTATGCCAAGAAATCCAATAATATTAGGTGATGTCTACCTGTCTAACGTAAAGCTTATTTTTCCTGAATTATTCTTTAATTAATGGCAAATTAGTTTAATTAAATAATAATTGTAATTTGTAAATATTATAATTTATTTTACTAACCTGTAATATATTTTACAAATTTGTTATATAGCTATTATATAACTTAATAATATTATTTTTTACTGTGTCCGCTGATGGAATATATGCTACTGGATTGCAAAATTTTATTAAAGTACAAAACTCAGGTGATTCAACAACAGTGAATAGTTGATCATCAACAGTGATCCATTTAGCAAGTTTTTTCTGAAAAATTTCATTAGAAATGTCTAAATAAAATGAATATAATAATTAAATAATTTATCACTTTAAGGTAAAGTAAAAATAGAATAAATTATACTCATTATTTTATCATCTGACTGTAGAAATTTTTTCATGAATTCTGTTTGTTTCACAATTTTAGGATCGATTTTCTCTAGATGTGACTTAAGATGATAATTTAAGTTACCAGTTGAATTTTCACTACTTATATTATACTTGCCACCTCTGATAAAAATAGTTTTTTTTTAAAAAAAAATATGTTTTAACTAAAAAACATTTGTTTCCATCCATGTAGAAATGCAGATAAAATTATTCAAAAATGCTTGTATTATCTCTTACAAATAATATTGACACTTTGCTTATATAACACCTTTATTATCTACAAATTTATCAAAATGGTCTCACACAGCACTTTTATTTTTTTTATCATTTTCATTTAGTGAGCTTAAAATAGAATTTGATTTTTCTGAAAATCCACTACTTTCTTTATCTAAATTGAATTCTTCATTAGGAGTGTTCTCTTCTAAGTCTGAATTAATTTATAATGAAGACATTTTGAAAAATTTTTGTTAAATATTTTATATACTTGAGAATGAAAGTATTTAAGATATGAAAAAAAAATGATAAAAAAAAGATTAACGATCAATTAATAATATAATTAGTAAATTTTATTATAAATTGATCTGGATCTAATGGATCAGATTAAGGACTTAACCTGACCTGATGTCAGGTCATTAAATTGTAGATCTGACCTAAAATTTTTGGATCAATCCATCAGATCATCTGATCTATTAGGTCAAATTCAGAACTCTAGTGCTCCTCTACTAATTCAATTTAAAATCAATTTATAAACACATATTAACAATTCGCTTATTTTAATTACAATCTCAATACTCGCTATGTGCTTCTCCTTTGAAAAAATGGGATAAATAATTTGATACTAAATCTTGCAGAAATATTATTAACGCAATCTTGAGCTTAGTAAAGTATGAAAATATCGGCATCTCTCTAACTACAAACTAATTTTTAACTAATGATATCGAAAGAGGCTCACTGCCCTTAAACCTCATACTCAATACTAATGAATTAAAGAAATATAGTAATATACTTCACAAATACTCACTATTATTTATAGATCAATTCTTAGATATCAATGATTCTCATTTGCTAAATTGGAGAGATATTACTCAAAAAAATATATATAATTACATACCCACCGCTCACACTTTTAACCTATATTACACAGTAAAAAGAAAAATTCTAGATAGCTCAAATAATAAATTAGTACATACAATTTTGGTGGAAAAAAATGACAATTTTTTTTTAGATTTTAGAGCGGATCATGTGAAATGTTTAAACAAAAACATAAATTATGATGTAAACAAGTTGTTTACATCATATATTAATAAATATCTGCAGCCTGACGATCACAAGCATTATACAATAGTTTTACTAAAAAAATGCTGTCAATGTATTAAAGCTTTATAGAAAGATAGCGTTCGTAAAGTCGCAAACCTTCAAAAAGCTACTAGATATCCATTAAAAGCATTATACAGATGGGCTAAATAACTCAAAAAAATGAACGACCTTAAGCAAAGAAGTTGTCTAGGATGTCTAAAACGTCTTTCTCCTTTTTAGCGTCGCTACCTTAGTCGAATTGTGAAATCACACAAATGTGCATCAAATAATGAAATAACTGAAAACCTAAAAAAAATACCCTGACCTTAATATTGCATTTCGGACGGTTAGAGAAAACCTTCAAAACCTTAGATATAAAGTTTGTATTTCTTGTTTATTTCCTTTTCTTACCCAGGATGCTATGAATCGTCATGTCACTTAGGCGAAAGCTCATCAAGAAGAATGTTAGAATAATGTCATATTTTCTAACGAGTTGATATTTCAGATGTTTCATAATATGACACTAGTTTGTTACAAAGTTAGAGAAACAATGCTGAGACGAGTTGTGGTAAAACACTCCTTTAAAGTTTATGTGTGAAATGCGTTTTGTGCAAAAAGAATTGTCAGATTTCACATGTTCACAGAGAACATGAATGGGAAGCTTTACCGGAATATTATAACCAAAAATTTGTTTGAGCAAGCATCTCAGATCTTTCAAAATAGGTGGACATTCTAACAGGATAACGATTCTAAGCATTGAGCTAAGCTTACGATCGCTTTACTTTAGGATCATTATCCTCGAGTTCTCGATTAGCTGTATTTTTCTCCAGATCTTAATCCGATTGAGAATCTATGGGCAATAATGAAAAGAAATGTTGAGAAGAAGGTTAATAATATGGTCATTGAAAAAAAATTAGTTATGCGGAAAATTTTTATGAAGTTAATAAAAAAGAATGGGAGACAATTGATGTAAATTTATGTATTAATCTTGTAAGGACTATGCCAGAGCGTGTAGGAATGGTAATAGAAAGCTAAGATCACACAATAAATTTTTAGGATTTTTATATTTTCATTATGTATATTTAGGAGGTTTAATTTTAAAATATTTGATTTTTTTAATAAAAGCCAGGCGAAATATTTACCAATTTATAATTGTCATTTTTTTCCACCAGAACTGTAGTTCTTATAGATTAAATAGTTTAAATAATAGTTATATAAATATACCTAGTATAAAAATTAGTTTAGATAATTTAAAAAAAGAATTTATGACTATCTATCATTCTGTTATGAATGTGACTATCATAGGAAGAATCCTCAGAAAAATGAAAAACCAAAACAACATTCTCATTTAACACTTCATTAAAGTTGACCCCTATGCAGATATTAGTCAAGATTATAACAATAGATCAATTGTTCAATATTCTAGCTGTAATCTTAATGATGATGCTCCATTAAATTTTTGCAAAAAACCATCCAACTACCTGAAGAAAATCTTTGGTAGACCTATAATATATACAACTTGTATTAAAGGTTATAATACTCTTATTGTCATAGTTATTGAAAGAATTTGTATAATTCACCCACTTAAAAAGACTTCATTTATTATGAAACAAACTCCATATTGCATCTTATCATTATCAATTGCTGAGAAAAGATGCGCTTAGAAAACCTGTTATGTCATCAATAGATCATTTATCCAATATAGATATTGAATGTCCAACTCAGTCGACAAATATTTTGCTCATTAGAAAATGTATAAAAGATGTTTCATATCAAGATGAGCTTATCAATCTATCTCATTCATGTAAAGATTTTAATACACCCAATTTCTACACCGATAGCTCTCTTTCTAAT